ACACGCACGATCTCCGCAGAGGGTTGCGCGCACAGCCGGCAAATCGCACTCTCGCCTGCATTTGAATGAAATGTAGCAAGCTGAAGAAGGTTGAAGGAAGGTTTGAATTAGTGTATACGCGTCGCAAGCCGAAACATCATGTGAACCGCAAGCTCCATCACCTCACCGAGATCACAACAAACCGCGAACAGACGCCATCACTCCATACGCACGCCAGAAGAGCAAATACTGATACCAACTACCAAAACAGGTACAAAACAGGCAGATTCCTATACCAGGAACCAAAGGCACTCCATGCACAGGCCAGTTGATGGGCACAGGCACGTAGCCCGCCACGGTCATCTCCAACCTGGTTCGATCAAGACTGGCTATCGGTACTTGATGGTCCGTGTCTTGTTGTCTAGTTATAACCTACTTATAATATGGTTTTAACCAGGTTAAGTAGTGTTATAAGTAGTGATAAGTAGCATAAATCTATTTTTCCTTAAGCTACTTATAATTAACTTTAAGTTACTTACAAGTCAGCTGACCTACTTGCTAAGTAGAAAATAAGTAGCTGCACAAAAATCATTGTATGTAGGCTAAGTCTACTTATAGCTACTTAGTTCTACTTAGGGTCTACTTGTTTCTACTTAACCTGCTTATGACAAAAGTATGTTTTTAGAGCTTTTTTTTACCATCCGTGTTTCGGATATCATTTTATAAGTTTTTGCTAGCTCATGTATCTTGTACAAAACGTATATTTGTCTAAATCCACTGTTCTTGCAATTTTGTGGGCGTTTGCCATGTAGAGGTTCTTCGGTTGTCATGGTCTTGCTAGCGGTGTGTCCGCTTTGTAACATGTCAGCGGTGCGTACTGTATCTGCTGCATTGGTTTCTCACACAAAGCCCGTCAGGGGCACAGCCAAGAGAATGACAAGAGGAGGACAAGACCCGGACACAGAGCCCAGCCACAGAGTTCAGGGGCACGGCCAGTGAGTGTGATCAGCTCTCTTTTTGTATAAGCTATATAGGGTATCTATAGTCCCGAAGGTACCGGGTATCTAACGGATATCTATCGGATGTCTATCGGATATCTATAGGGTATCTATACCTTCCATAGCCCAGCAGGTATCCGGATATCTATGGGTATCTATGGGTATCTATAGGTATCTATACTGAAACACCAGAAACTAGAGACATTTGTTCCGGGTATCTATGGGTATCTATAGCTGGGCACAGGGTCGCAGAAGCAAAGCTCAGCCAAAGGCGCTTTGCAATTCGAGTCTGTTCTGGCCGAATGATGCTTCGAGCGTGGAAGTTTGAGGAAAAACAATGTGTGTGCTTTGCGTTGCCTGAGTGCTGCCTGAGCGGTGTGCCCGCTAATGCTTTCTGAAGCGGTGTCATCCGCTTTGATGCAAGTTGAGAAGTGTGCCCGCTAATGTTAAGTGAAGCACTGTGACCGCTGTTGTTAGTTGATCTTGTGTCCACTCTTGTTTACCAAAATCTATACCAGCATAGACCCCAGACAGCGTATAGAGCCGGACACAAGACCCGGAAAAGCAGATGCTTGCAATCAAATATTGAAAAAACAGCAAAACGACAGCTGTCTTACAACAAAACAGTTTTTAAAAAGCATGTAAACATGCTTTTTTAGATACCATGTCGAAAGTTGCAAAAACAACTCTTTTCGAGGCTGTTCTGCTTATTTCTACTTATTTCTGCTTATTTCTACTGACAAGTTACTTATAACCTACTTATTCCTACTTATAATCAATGAGGATTTCAAATCGACGCTAAGTAGATCATAAGTAGATATAAGTAGCTGAAGTAACGGTAAGTTACTTACAACTAGACAACAAGACACGGACCATAGAGTACCTTTCCCTAGACCTGCCCGATGAACTCTGACTCCCTGCTGACACCTGGCTGCATATAATCACGGCACGATCCAATCTTCACTTTTACGACAGCCGCCCACGTTGCACGGTATTCAGGCCTGAATGCATTCTCCTCAATCAGCATGCGATCGGTTTGCACACCGAACAAGCCATGTTGCACCGCCGCTATCTTGCTCCACAGCTCAGCCCAGCCATTTTCTTGCAGCTTCGCGCGAAACGCAGCAACCTGCTCTGCAATTTGCGCATTCGCTCCTGGAAGGGGCGCCCCAGCTTCAAAAATGACCCTGAGAAAGTCGACTGTGAAGCTCCTATCGAAGAGCACACAGCTCGCCGCTGTGGCTCTTGCTCTTGCCATCAATGCAGTAGCTTCAAGGTAGGCTAGCGGTGCTGCGCCCAACTCTGTAGTCCGCCATGGTGCCTGTAATGCGAGCTAGCCACTGTCCTTCTGACACCGGTTCGCCGATGGTGACCAGTTGACTTGGACATGGAGGCACTGCCACGCTCCAAGTGATCTCCTGGAGGTTATTTGCTGCGTCCCGTACCTCCTCGCCGTACTGTGATGGTACGAGCAACGTTTTCTCATTGCCGAATACGTGTGCTCGCGTCTGAGCTGTCACACTTGCCTCAAATTTCTCAACCACGAGATTCAATAGCACGCCCAACAACTGATTGAGAATATCAGGTGAGATCTGATTTGCTTCAAGCAATCGAATTTGGCCAGATGCCGTGAACACTACAATATCATCAAGCAGCGGACTTGACTCATCGTTGGCCCAATTTGCAGGCTGGCCTTGTGCTATTCTGACAGAGGGTTGCGCGCACAGCCGGCAAATCGCACTCTCGCCTGCATTTAGCGCACCCTCCGCCTTTAAGGAGAATTTATAAAGTGGGGAAATGTTTTTCATTAGGACATCTCCCGTGCTAGTTTTCCATGCTGCTAGCATACTCATTGCATGCTTGCATGCTCATCATTAGACTTGCATACTTTGACACTTGCATACTTTGCACTTGGATGCTTTCGCTCTTCCAGTGTGTGTGTGTGTGTAAGTGTAAGTGTCGAAGTGTAAGTGTCGAAGTGTCAGTGTTCAAGGGATTTTCCGGAAGAACCCTTCGCAATGCTTTCGGGAAAAAAGACCTTCTAATCCCAATTATACTAGGAAGTGCTCAAATGCCTTCTAACCCAGTTGGGAGCTGCCACCTTGGCTGCTCCTGTGATCCGCGTTGGGAGCTGCCTTCTAACCAACGTGGGGCCCCCTCTGAGCTCCCCAACTCTGGCAGCTCTTCAGCAGTCTTCGCCTGACAAACGTCCACAGCACAAGGATGATCGAGAACTGGAACTAGTACTAGAAAAGGAAGAACCAAAAGAAACATAACAGCACTGCGCTTTCTTTTTCAGTTATGGACGCCCCCCCCCAAATGCACTTTTCGTTCGCACGCACAAGTCCTCCTTGTACTTTCCCTAAACCTACAAACCTTACAGTGAGTCAAGGAAATTGAGAGCCAGCGCGAAATGACTATCGCTCAAAACATCCCAAAACCGTCTCGCGTGAGTGGTTCATCTACAGAATGCGGTGAATAGAAACACATGCCGTCAAATCTTTGCATTTTCTTGCCAAGAGAGGTTGAACTCACAGCCCGTCTTGTCGCCCATCCCATAATCCCTAGTTCCTATTAATAAACGTACCCAATTAATAAAAACACATGTGCCCGACCCCAAAAAATTGTTAGTAGCGTTTTGAAATTGCTCCCTTTGAAATTCAATACTCGTGGGTCCACAGTCGGGGGTGCCCCAGATTTTAGGTGTATTAGGGGGACAGCAAAAATAACCCGAATTCCCCCTAATATTAAAAACATCTCCAATCCTCCCCCAAAAATACCTCTCTCCCTCTCTCTCTTCGGCGAGACCGCGAGACCCTGGTTCTCCCTCTCTGTCCCTCTTTGTCCCTCTCTGTCCCTCCCTTTGATTTGACCCTTTTTAGCTTTTTTGATGGTCGTTTTATAGAGGATTTTATATAGATTTGGAACCCATATGTTGCCTCCTTTCCAAGATCCATTCTTGCTGTTTTGTGGCCCCCCCAATACTAAGCAGGAGTCTGTGCCAATGTTCCTAATTAATTTTGCTTTCCTGATTGCGCTATCCATTGCTCTTTGCAGCGATGTGTTTTCATTCATTGGGTGCATCAACAGTTGGTCTAGGAAACCAACAAGAGGGGGAAGACCTTCGATTTGACCCTTTGTTGTTTTTTTGATGGTCGTTTTAACAAGGATTTTATATAATTAATTAGATTGGGAACCCAGGGATTTTCTAAATAAACACCCCCTATTAGTAAAAACACACCAGGGTTTTTATTGTTCACGCACTTCCTTGAGGGTTGACTGCATCACGCAGCCCTTTTTGTTGTGAGGGCCTGATGGCCTTTAGAACCTCCCACGAAGGAGGAACCCCAACCAAAGAAGCGTTGAAAAAGAACAGCGGATCTGTTTTGTGCATTTGGTTTGGGAACGTGTGTTTTCGGTCATGTCCGCAGAAGGGTATCAACAGGTTATGAGCCCAAAACAAGCTACTTCTGCACCACCCTCGAGCTCGTGCATGCTTCGCCGCCGCCGATCGATGGAGCATGGCCCTTCGCTGGCTCTTCCTCCGCCAGAAGAGGATGCTGCAAGAGCCTCTGCAGAGGAGGCTGGAAAGGTGAAGGAAAGAGAAGAGGTGGAAAAAGATGAAAAGGAAGAAAAGGGTTTGATGACACCCACAAGGTCTACAACAGGACCACCGGGTTCCGCAACTGGGCCTACTACGGAGATGGAAGTGTTTCGTAGTGGTGGTTCCAAGCCCAGTGCAAAAGGTTCGACTGAGCATCCAAAAGGTCGGCCGGTGACTTTGGCACCCCTGGTTCCTTTGCAGCAGCAAATGGCACCGCTGTTCACGAAGGAGCAGCTGAAAGAGTCGAGAGCTGCCGCCCGTATGGCACCTCAGGTGTTTGGAAAGCCGCCGCCTCCATCGTCCTCTGAAGAGCAGGCGGAGCTCCTTCAACGACCTGCATTCCTTCAAGAAGAGGAAGAAAGGTTTGGAGGAAAGAAAAGGGCTCCAGGAGGCTATGAGGAGGATGAAAGTGAAGAGCTCAGACGATGTGATGATGAGGATTCTGAAGGAGCTCAAGGCCGCCGTCGAAGCCGCCTTCAAGAAGAACAAGAAGAGGAGATCATGTGGAGATGGCAGATCTCACAAGATATGAAGAAGCTGACAAGCCTATGTCAGGATCAACAACGTGAAAACGATCGCCTTCAACAAGAGCTCTATGAGTGGAGGTTGGAGGATGCAGAAAGGAGAAAACAAGAGGAAGATAAGAAAAAGAAAAAGGATAAGGAGGAAGGTCATGCACCTCGAAGTTCATCGACGTTCAACACTCCTGAAGAAGCGAAGCCTGAAGCTCCCAGCGTCTTGGAAATGTTGGGTGGCAGAGGACGCACTCCATGGTCTACCTACCCAGCTAGGTATGGAAAGGGGTCGAGATCTCAATCCAAAGACCCACCGCGAAAGGGAAGAAGTCCTTCGTATGGAAAGGGGTTCAAGGAGGATCCAAGATCGACCGCCCAAAAGCCTACAATGGGGGGAGCCAAACTTTCGCCAGAGATCCAGCAAATGGAGGTCATGGCATTGCTCGTTGAAAGCATGAAGGCCCTTCAGCGTCAGATTTCTGAGGGGCATGAAAGTCAAGGCACCATCAAAGGTGTCGAAGTGGTGAGACAAGTTGCAGAGCTCCCGGCTTTGGGGAGTATCCAAGGCAGCACCTCACAGCTCCAGCTTGGAGATTGGCTTCTACTTGTGCAACCAGTTGTAGCCGACCTCACGGCTACGTCGGATTTGTGGTGGGAAAAGATGATGCTTGAAGTTGAACGATGGTACCAAGATCATCAAGCTATGCCACCCCTAGATCGTGTTCAGCATGAGCCCGTCGCCCCAGCTTCTTTGAATATCCCGAAGTGGACGAAGTTGGAAAGGAGGATGGCCACCTTGCTGCTCAAAGCGATTCCTGAAGGCCAGCGTGATGAACTGGTCGCAACAAAACGCCTCTCGGTGTTTGCAATCTTGGCGCACCTCCACCTGTCCTACTGCCCTGGAGGTGTGAGTGAAAAACAAATGTTGTTGAGGAACCTTGAAGAGCCGAATGAGCCGAGCAACCTCCACGAGACGGTGGTCAGCCTTCGAAGGTGGCTTCGCTGGAGGGCTCGTGCCCAAGAGATCGGGGCGACGGAGCCTGATCCATCCATTCTGGTCAAAGGCCTCAACAAGTTGACCAAAAGGACTTTGGAAGCCAATGAAGGGCTTCGGTTTCGGGTCTCGTTGGCCAGGAACTCACTTCAAGTTGACACCAATCCAACACCGGTCTCGGTCTCCCAGTTCGCCACCCATCTCATTGCTGAGATTGATCAGCTCGCCCTCGCCGAAAAGAGAAGTGCAGGAGCAGGTGGAGGAAAGAAGGAGGACGCGAAGGTGAAGAAGTTGGATGAAGGTGGAATGAAGAAAGGAAAGAATGTTGAAGTAAAAGTGAAAGAAATGGAGGTCAAGCAACCCTGCAAGTTCTTCCTCACCGACTCGGGATGTCGCCGCGGAAAGGACTGCAGATGGTCCCATGATCTCAAAGATGATCAACGAAGATGCTACTCCTGCGGCTCCACCAAGCATCTCGCTCCGAATTGCCCGACCAAGGATTCGGTGAGTCCTACTTCCTCTACATCCCCGCCTAAGGTGAAGAAGGAGAAGGAGGATGAGAAGGGAAGAAAGGAGGATGATGAGAAGAGTGCAGGAGGAACAGAAGGCGAAAAGATGGATGAGCTGTTGGAAGAAGCGAACAAGATGCTCCGGATGATGAAAGACAAAGAAACATCGGAGGCAAAGATGAACAAGCTTCACCAACAGCTGGATGAGATTAAAAGGAGCATCAAAACCCTGAAGCTCACCAAGGTCAGGGAAGCAAAAGTGGGGTCTAAGAAGGAAGAAGAATGGGGTTTGCTCGATTCGGGAGCAACTCACCCTCTCAGGCCTCTCGCCCTGACAGACTGTGTTGACAGTCTGAAGAAAGTGTCAGTGTCGTTGGCTGATGGCCGGACAACGCCATTGCTGATGACGGAAGCTGGAGTGATGATCTCCACCAATTTGGCTGTAGAGCCAATTGTGCCCCTCGGCATTTTGGCGGGATGTGGGTGCAGCATTTCCTGGAAGAAGAATGGCATGAAGGTGACTCATCCAAAGAAGGGTCCTCTTCCAATCAGCATTCAAGCTGGATGCCCACAAATTCCAAAGGCTTTGGCCCTCGAGCTCATCAAGGAGTATGAAGAAAGGGTCACTGATGTCAAACAAGCTCGGCTTGTGGAAGAAACACATCCAAAAAGGGAGGTGGAGTGGCTGTCCTCGCTGGTTGAAGGTCACCCAACCTTGTCCATGCTGCCGGACTCCATCAAGAAGTCCCTGATCCAACAGCCGGGGGAGTGGAAAGACTTGCCTGTAAACCGGCACCAAAGAAAAAGATTGAAGGCCGCTGGTCCAATCATCCTGCATCTCTACGCAGGCGAAAAGGATGGCTTCACGCTCCATAAGGCCATGGAAGAATATGGTCTGGGTTCTCGAACTCTGGAGGTGGATCTAAAAAGGGGGGAGGAGCATGACATGGCTTCTATGGACTCCAAAGCATACAAGGGCATGCTGAGGTTGGCGCTGGATGGTGATCTTGCCGCCATTGTTGGAGGCCCAAACTGTCGGTCTCGCTCAGTTTTGCGCCACTACCCAGGGGGACCAAGGCCGGTGCGTTCTTGGGAAGAACCTTGGGGTACGAGCCAACTCAATGAAGAGGAGCTCGACATGTGTTTGGAAGATGACATCATGATGTGGCGTCAAATCTTCCTCTACCTGGTCGCCGAGATGTCCAGGAAACTTCAAGAAGCAAGTGCTAATGAAAGTTCAAGGGTGAGGAACCATGAAGTTCTCTTCCTGCTCGAGCAGCCCTCCGATCCGGTCGATTACAAGCCGGAATGTGTCTCCTTTTGGCGCACCAAGGAGTGGTTGTCGTTGAAGGCTGCTGCCAAGTTGGATCTTCACCAAGTGAATCAAGGAGATTTTGAACCTTGGAAGAATGAAGTTCCTGTCAAGCCCACGTCTTTGGCTGCTAACTTCTCGCTCCGCTTACCAAAAGGAAGAAATCCAGGAGCACGAAGTCGAAGTGAAGGTCAAAGGTTGCCATCCGCCTCCTTGTCAAGGTGGGTACCTGGACTTTGCCGGGCGATTGCTGAGGCGTGTGCAC